ATTACCAACTCGCTAAGTATTTATATAAAAACAAATACGGGACGCACAATTTCTGTAAACTTAGAGCCGCAGTGGGACATAAAAAATGTAAAGGAAATTGTAGCACCACAATTGGGGCTACAACCGGAAGAAGTAAAAATCATATTCGCTGGCAAAGAACTCAGTGATGCAACAACCATTCAGGTAAACATGTTTTCATTAGTTTTTAATTGAAACATTACTTAAGCGAGCTATTTATAGGAATGCGATTTGGGTCAGCAAAGCATATTACATGCCATACGAACGCGGCCGCAACCGCAAAGGCAGCGGCTGCAGTCCACGGTTATGGAGGAGGAACCGGCGGATGCTGCAGGCACAACCACCCCCACTGGACGTGCGACCACTTCGCTCTCTGAAGAACCGTCGAAGCCGTTGTGCGAAACATTAGTCGATTTGCAGCTTTTGAGTGACGAACGCGTGAACATTAATGAGGAAGGCAAGTAAAAAAGTTAAAGAGATGATAGTATGATATTACTTATACATACAGAATTTGGTTTTTAGATCGCCTACGTACAAAAGCGCATTTTTTCGTGCACTGTACGCAATGCAATAAGCTATGCAAAGGAAAGCTACGTGTGCGCTGCTCACTCTGCAAAGGTGGCGCATTCACTGTGCATCGTGATCCTGAATGCTGGGATGATGTGCTGAAACCACGTCGCATTACTGGGCATTGTGAAAGCCAAGAAGTGGCTTGTTTTGATAATGCAACAGGCAATCCACCATACACTGAATTTTATTTCAAATGCGGTGAGCATGTGTCCGGTGGGGAGAAAGACTTTGCAGCGCCTTTGAATTTAATAAAAATTAATATAAAAGATGTGCCTTGCTTGGCGTGTACAGATGTTAGGTGAGCTGTTGACAAATAGTTGCTAATGTGCAAATGATTGTTTAACTTAACTTTGTTTCTTTCCTAATTTAATTTTTAAGTGAAACCGTTCTAGTCTTCCCCTGTGCATCGCAACACGTCACTTGTCTTGACTGTTTTCAGCAATATTGTCGCTCACGTTTATCTGAGCGACAATTTATGCCACATCCAGACTTTGGTTACACCTTACCATGTCCTGCGGGTTGTGAGAATTCTTTTATAGAAGAAATACATCATTTTAAACTTTTATCGCGTGATGAATATGCGCGTTATCAGCGTTTTGCAACCGAGGAATATGTGCTGCAGGCAGGCGGTGTATTATGTCCGCAACCTGGTTGCGGCATGGGATTGTTGGTGGAACCAGAATGCAAAAAGGTCACCTGTCAAAATGGTTGTGGTGTAAGTTACTTACTGGGTAATTCTGGCTAAGATTAGTGGAAAGTCTTTTGTAAGACAATTAAGACAGGGAAAATTTTCTATATATACATACATATAGTACACATACATACATAGGTATACATTTTTAGTTTCATTATATTTTTAGGAACTTATTTTGTTTTTAAACGACTTCACAAAAAGGCCTTATAACAATTGTGTTCCAACACTTTTATTGTGCTTGAGTAAAAAACAATAACTTACGTTTTGGTAGAAGTTATATCTGCTTTTTCGGAGATCACCACATCTTCTCATCAGACTTTTTCACTGGGATTCGATCCAACTACCCCAGCGGCCAAAGCCAGTAGTCTACCCACTGAGCTAAGTTCGCCATGTAAACTGTTGTTGCTTTTCCACTTTTTTCATGTGTTAAGCCAGCTACAATCTTCATCTACCGAAATGTGAATTGTTGTTTTTTTCCCCAAAAACTTTCAATGAAAACGGCCTCAAGTTCAATAAAATTGTTGAATATTGATTTAATTATTAAATAATTTTATTCTAGTATATGTATGTATATTTTTTTCTCTTTTAATTTTTATTTATCAATTTAATTTTTAGACTATTATTTTAAAAAGAATATATCGACTACTGAATGGAAGATCGACCGATCTTGGTAGCCAGTTCGAAAACGCCCTATCTCAAAAAATTTTCAAGAACGCCCTATTTCAAAATTTTATTGCAAAACACCTTATCTCAGAATTTGGTTCAAAAATGCCTTATCTCACTTCAAAATGTATAGAAAATGTGGGCATTTTTGAATCGGCTGCTAAGAATCGAATTCTGAAATAGGCCGTTCTTCAACCAAATTTTGAAATAGGGTGCTCTTGGAAAGGTTTTTGAGATAGGGTGCTTTCGAACTGGCTGCCGAGATAACTCGATCCTCCACTCAGCAGTCGAAATATTTATACCCGAGCGCACTTGTGCACAAGGGTATATTAATTTTGTTCACATAACGGTTATTTGTAACAGCCAAAACGAATCGAGATAGATATAGACAAATGTATACATAAATGCTCAGAATGAATAGAGAAGTCTATTAAGCCATGACTGTCTGTCCGTCCGTCTGTCCTTCTGTCCGTCCGTCCGTGTACACGATACCTCGAGCAAAAATTGAGATATCTCAACGAAATTTGGTATGTAGATTTCCATTAATACAAGGTAGGTTGGTATTGGGCGAAATCGGTCTGTAACCACGCCCACTTTCCATATAACGGTAATTTCCAGTAATACGAAAACTGCGATATTTTAGTAACTACTGAAGATAATTCACTCAAACTTGATATTTACAATCATTTTCAGACGAAAAATAAGAATATTATAAATTTTTGGAAAATGGGCGTAGCCACCCACGCCCACTTATGGTTATATGTGTATATCTTGGTAACCGCTGCACCAATTTCTTCCAAACTTGGCACAGTTGTTGGCCTTGGTGCAGCATACTAAATGGCCGAAAATTTAAAAAATCTGACAATAACCACGCCCATATCCCATATAACGGTAATTTAGAGAAATACAAAATCTTCAATAAATCAGTAAATATTAAAGCTAATTTATTCAAAATTGATGCTTGCAACAATTCTTTACCAAGAAATACGTTTATGGTAAAATTTTGGAAAATGGGCGTGGCACCGCCCACTTATGATCACATATACATATGTATATCGGTAACCGTTCTACCAATTTGTACCAAACTCGGTATTTTTATTGTGCTTGCCACATAAAAGCAAAACGTTGAAAATTATTGAAGTCGGACTAAAATTACGGCCGCTTTTCATATAACGGTAAATTTCAGAAATCCTTGAAACTGCAATATTTCGAAATTTAAGGACGCTAAACATATATTTAATACTTGCGCTGGGTATTTAATGTTAGGCTCCGCCCGAACTTAAACTTTCTTACTTGTTTTCTTTTAATTTTTTAAGAACTTATTTTATTTTTTTCTCGTTTAATATTTTTTTAAGTTTAATTTCCTGTTAAATTTTAGATTGTATTATTTTAAAAGAAAAATATTTTAAACGAACTTATCTTTTTCTATTTATTTGTTTTTCCTTTTTAATTAACTTTTCCTTTAATTTTTTATAATTGACTGTTTAAAAAATCATTTTTTTTAACATGAGCATTAAATTTTTAGAAACTTGTTTTATAAACTTTGTTCCTTTTTTAATTTTGATTTCAATTTCAATTTTTAGTTTGTATTGCTTTAAAAAGGAAAATATACATATTTTTTTATTTAGTTTAATTTTTGCAAACTTATTGCTAAAAGACAAACAGAAAAACGCTAAGACGTCCTTGTTAGCAGATGTTTCAATTAGTCTTTTGAAAGTCAGAAAAGACCTTTCTAGATTTTTCCCAAAACTGAGAATTGTTTTACGAACCACTTTTGTGTTTCGAAAGATTGTGGTGAGTTGCCAGAATTGCCCTCTTAAACTTGTTCTTATGTTTGTTATTAGTAAATTCTCTAAATTTTAGTATGTTTTCTGCCGCAATTGCTTGCAAGGCTACCACTTAGGCGACTGTTTGCCAGAAGGCACGAGCACGAGTGCAAGTGGCTCCTGTGAATACGCTGTCGATCCAAATGTATGTATGAACGTCATGACGCGTATGGGTATATAAATTTGTAATATTACTAATGCTATTTTATTATATTAATTATTGTCATTTAGCGCGCAGCTGAGGCACGATGGGACGAAGCGAGTAAAGTGACTATCAAAGTCATGACAAAGCCATGTCCCAAATGTCGTACCCCTACCGAACGTGATGGCGGTTGTATGCATATGGTATGTACACGCGCTGGCTGCGGCTTCGAATGGTGCTGGATTTGTCAAACCGAATGGACAAGAGACTGCATGGGCGCTCATTGGTTTGGATAGAAGTGGAAAAAGATTTTATTCTCATTTGGCTATAATTATATATGAAAGTACATATATTTATATATATCTATAAAAATATATATTTTATATCTTCATAAAGAAATATGTTAAGTTGACGCTGATAAAGTTTGGAGTGACAAAAAACGTGTATAAGAAAAAGTACAATAAAAACTAAACTACTACATATTAGGAAGGTATGATAATCTAATACAAAAAAATGTTTTCAAAATAACAGTTATTAGTAGAAAGACGTCTCTGTTAGGTTAGCAATTTCTATTGCGGCGCAACTAAAGAACTATTTTTTATCAAAAAAGGTCAAAATCTTGCTACTACAATAGAATAAAATTTGAACAAAATAAAAACTGATTGTTTTGCCTATACAACATATAGTATGAACTAGATACATACATTTGCATTTTTGTTTCTTTACAGAGTAGTTATAAAACTTTATAAAAATTAAAGTGGTTCATTTGCCAATTTCTTCTAAACCCTGATTTTTAATAAACACAAACTAATTTATTGATGTAGTTGTTGTTGTTGGTTTCAAATTCTATTAGGTCCTTAATGAGTAAGGCTGTCTTTTTAAACGCATTCATGCAAAGTATCAGGCTCTTTTATTTCTCAACCATAAGGGATAACAGTATCCAAACTTTATTAAAAATTCGTATTTCTTCATGGTTGCACATATCTACGGTGACCATGTTTATGAGAGCCGAATACGGGACAAAAAATAATTTTGCAAATTTTTTCCACACTGTTTTCCCTGAAACAGTGTCCTTATAGTAAAATCACAAATTTGTATGATCATTTTCTCGATTTTTTTACCCCGTAAAATTTGTTAAAAAAATTTTAGTGTAATAAAGTGCAGTTTTAAGTCGGTAAGGCTTACGACTAATTTTTGGCAATGTTTTTTTTGTTGACGGTGTTACGCATTTTTTTCATACAAAGTATGTATTTTCGACCTTTTTTTGAAAGAGAAGCAAATGAGCAGAAATTTCCACTCGCACTTTATTATACTCAATTTTAATGAGTTACAGAACTGCGAACCAAATTTTTTTCTAACAAATCTAATTAAAAAGTTTGAAATATTGGTGAAACATTCCAGAATTAATTCTTATTATTCTTTTTGCACAAAGCTGGAAATTTATTATTATATTGTTTTTGTTAGAAAAAGAGCTTTACTTCCATAAAATAAATAATGAACATTAAATAAACTAAGGAAAAATAGCCAAAACTTACTAAAATGTCGAGTCCTAATTTCTATTTTGGCCACTGTATGCATTCCTCGATTCGAATCAGAAAATAATTAATAATAAGATTAGAAAATAATAACTGTTTATAAAGAAAATTACCAACATCACTAAAAACTCGTACATAGGCATGCCATTTTTATGAGCTGTTAAGGCGTCAGAACACCGAATACGGGACAAATACAGGACATTAAAAGAAATACAGAACATTTGGCGTCCCGTATAAAATAAATAAATTACCAGGGCAATGGGTCAAAAAAAAGAACTGCCCCGTATAATACAGGACGGATGGTCACCGCACGCATATCGCATATTGATATGAATCATACTCTGGAAATAAAAGAGATTGATGCTTTGCAGTAATGCGTTTAAGAATACAGCCTAATATACCGATTTTTGTACAAAGCTGAATGCTCGCTGCCTTTCAATGCCATTTGTATATAAATATGTAAGTCAAAAATTATTTCAATCAATAGGTTTATATATAACATTTGAATTTTAATTTACTAATAGCATTCAATTAAAAAAATTAACGGTATGAAATGATAAATAAAAGTCAAATGATAACTACTAATTGCAATTAAACTATCAATTTCTTAATACAAATGAATTTACACATGCAGAAGAAAGTGTCTGGGGATATATCCAATGCAATAATGACAATTCACATTCATACGTATATACATACATCCATACATATAAATAGCGCTGCGCGAGAGTTGCAATTGAAAAATGCTATATATTCGTATATGTACGTATATACACCTGGCGTGGTAATATGTACTTACTTGTGTACGTATCGATAGTCCTCTGCAATAACGGCACAATTCAAATTCGAAAAATAAAAACTTTTTCTAATCTTAAGTGGCTCATGTCTCTAATCCTTGTCTAATCCTTACTACTTACTTTACTCAGAATTAGACATGGATTAGATAAGGATTAGAGACATAAGCCACTCAACAGTAGGAAGGGATTTAATTTTTTGAATTTTGAATTGTGTCGTTAATGCAGAGGGTCATCGATATGTAAAACTTACATATTTTCCCGATTCCACATGGCGTATGAGCAACATTCTGTATGAGTGAACTTAACATTACTCATACCACATGTTGTACAGCAATGCAAATTTTCCATATGGCAGCATACATACATACATGCACACATACATACATACATACATACACACATACATACACACATACATACACATGGGCGTAGCCAGGTAGGGGCAGGGGGGTGCTCGAGCTCCCCCCTAACTTTCAAATTTTCCTTATATATATATAAAATAGTACCCTGAAATGCCAGCTTAATAGCGTCGAGCCCCCCCCCTAAATTTCATTTTGGCTACGCCGATGTACATACATACATACAACATTAAAAATTGGAGCGATAAAAAAAGTATACAAAAAAGTTTGATGCATTCTTATATGTTGACTGAAGTTTTTAGCAATTTAAAAGTATTTTGTATGACTAATGATGGATTTCGAGTTCCAGCAGCCACTTACATATGTACATACGTACATACTAAAATCGATTTGTATGGAGATATGTACACATTGCTGTACCTGCATACATACATAATTATGTAAAGTACACTTTTTCTCTGCTCACAATTTTTATTTTTTTTTTGCAGTACATACGGTATTTTTTCCTAACGCTCTCATTTAATTGATTTTTGCCATTTTCATCCCCTTGCCAAAAGCTAAAATGCTCTCTGTTTTTGTTTTGATTTTGTTTTAAGCATTTTCGTAATCATTTTATACATTTCCCTTATTATTACTGTTGTTGTTAGTGCGCTCCATGGCGGCTACCAATGTTACGAAAATGAATGCTTAGCGGAAACAGTGAATTGAATACGTTTTTGCTCCCGCGGTGCCTCCACCATGCGTTTATATGTATGTACGAGTACATACTTGAGAGAGTATTCACATACATACATATGTACATATATATTTGTCTTTTATTTTTTGACGCTCTCTCGTTAAACTAGCTCCTGATTGTGCCTAAGTGCAAAGAGTCAGCAAAGCTATTGTGCCTTCGAATCGCCCAGCCTCCAACTCACTCTCACGCTTGCGTTTTTATGCGTATCTCAAATCGGTAAAATGTTGTTGACGATGTGGCTTGGCTTCGTACGCTCCGAATACGCGCTACACACAAATCGGGTCACATTGTTGGAGCACGTTTTTTTTGTACAAGTCGACAGTGTTCTACCTTTTAGGAAAATAATTAATGGAAAACGAGTAATGGTAATGGTAAGGAGGTAGTGATGTTTTTGGTAAAGATTGATAAAGATTAGATCAAAGGTAATCATAATTATTAAAGTAATGCTAACGGTAATTGCAATGGTATTATTAATTGTGATATTGTGGTAATGGTAATGATAATAAAGGCAATAGCAATGGTAAGGGTAGATATATGGCCATGATAGAGAGGTGCATTGCGACCTTGGGTCTATTGTGCCCTCAGAACTCATCACACGATCTCGCCTACTCCTAAGGCCCAAATGGAATGAAGCAATTTTAGGGCGACAGAGTTTGAATGTGCTTAGCCTCTGGCCGAACAGTATCTGCGGGTCTCTCTTGGCAGCTGAAGCTCTTACTCTACAACTGGTGGGTATTGAACTCCGATGACGACACTCAGGGGACAGTAGGTGGAAGTAATGGTCTCCCTGTGAATGTCGTTCATTGCCAGTCTATACCAATAGTCTGTAAGTTATATCATGTCATAGACTGACTAGATCGAAACTAAAATTGCTAGGCGTTCGTAGTTCTGTACTTCGTCCTTCAGTTCGTGGAGTTACCTTCTGGCATGCCTAAATGGAGGTTCCGCTTCAAGCATATGCCTGTTCGGGTGCTCTCGTCTGTAGGAACCAACAAGAAAATGCTTGCTGAGTTTGATGTTAAGCTCCGATACTAGGAGCATGGGGTATTTGTTATGAAGCTGATGTACAGCTGACATCAGAAGGCCGTCTGGAGCGGTCCTTAATGTTGCCAGTCGTCATTGTCGCGCCATCATCTGGCTTTTTTGGTGGAGGTAATGACCGTACGCCCGAAAAGCAGCCTGTACACCATGTTTTATATGTTGTGACAGGGTCGCTTTATAGGCTCCCCAAGTGCTGTCGGCTAGAGACTTGAGGACTTTGTTCCTGGCTCCCAGTTTATTACAGTTGGCTGAGGCTTGCGCTGAAAAGGAGATAAGGCTGTCAAACGTGACTCCAGCCCACTATACTTCAAACTGATCAGTAATAGACGAAGTCTGAAGTAAACGCCTGTGGAAACTGCGTTTCGGGACCAGCTTCTTATGACCTTATCTGTTATGGTGACTACAGAGTTGTTAACTGCGCCAAAGTAAGATACTTGACGTGGAGCTTTTGTGATGAGGTGAAATTGATTCACTAAGTTCACATTCACCAAGGAATTTTCAGCAAATCTTCCTTTGCGAATACTTCACTGTGCAAGAAGCTTATACAATTGGAGCTTCTCGGTAATAAAGCAAGCCTTCATACATATGTATATGGATCGTCTAAGTATCCTCGCCGACGCATAACGACCAACTGCGCGACACGAATGCCTAAATCGTGAGCAATGGTTTGCCCCATTGGAGCAATGCGGTCGATGGTCGATGCTTGCATTTAGGGTGCTGCCCAATATTTGTATGTTTAATATGTGTGTATGTATGTATGCAATGAGGCATGGAGTACATTAAATTGTATAGCAGCCGCGAGCAATCAACTAGCCAGGCCAACAAGCTTTGAGTCAGTCTTCGTCGCACTTTTGCAAACAACAGTCGCACTTTGACGGATAAAAACGCACAGAATTTTTTTCTATTTGTCATTTAATTGATTGTAGGTGCTTGCTGCCTGCTACACAGGCCATGTGTATGCGTGTGCAATACTTTTTGCATAGTTACTCGGGTTTTCCGGTGTTCTCTGACCTCCTACTCGTCTGCGTTTGGCCTGTGCGTGTGTGTGCGAAGTAGATTTTACCAGTGCTTTTGGCAGTGATAAGGAATAGGAAATTTCGATCGCGCGCGGCGTTGTTAGTTTGTATTCGGTCGCTCTGTGGAAATTGGGCAGAAAAAACATAAAAAATATAACCTACCTATACATATATTTGTAACGGTTTTAACTTTGAAAAATTAATTTTGGAAATTTGTTGTTTCTAATTAATAAAATATAACTTGTGCGTTGTAAAACAGATGCACAAATGAGCATTGAATTGAATACCAATTTTAAAAGCGAATGGCGCCAAATTACTTCACATTAGGTAAACTTACAAACAAAGCATATTTTAAAATATAAAATTTATTATAAACTTATATGCATAGCGCTAGCTTAGGAAACGTTTTTTATATTCAATGAAAGAAAAATTTGCTAAGCCCAAAGGTCGCACCGAAAATCCGATAAGGCGAAAATAATATGCAAACATTTAATCAAAATCGAATCGATACGAATCATAATTCGTATGGAATTTTACTTTGCTTTAAACACGCAAAATGTTGCATTCAAAGTTTTGCGAAATACTTGAAGAAAATGGCTACAAAAGGTTTTTTCTTTCGTGTAAAATTTGTAAAACGGGACTTAAGCATTTTTCACACACATTTCTATGCTAATCATACATATGTTATTGCAAGCAACTTTTTTTCAAAACAAAAACCGTCAGAATTCAGGCTGACAGTGCGTATACGCAACTTTTTTAAGCGACATTTTTTCCAAAATTTTCTTTTTGATGCAGAACTGCTCTACGAATATTTCTGCATGAAATCTTTAAAATATTGTCGCTTACGTTATTTTGACAGCTAGGACAGCGATATGTTACCCTTTGGGCAAAAGGCATCATTTCACGAAAGAAAATGTGTTAAGCTTGAAGAAATAGATATGCATATCCTTTTGCAATCAATATTTTATCACACATTTTTATGCGTATTCTATGTTTCAATGTTGCAATGGCGCAACTTTTCAAAAGTCATCGCGTGGTGGTCATTTAACGACGAATCGGGCAACACCCTTTTATCGGCAGGTTTGACCGCGAGCGGCGTTCGCACAAAAAGTGTTCATATCAAATAGAAAGTATGCTTTCAGAAAAATACATATGTAGGTATGAACATTAGGGTGCATCACTCTCCATGCCAAAAAAAAGGTAATGTTTTTTCAACGGAAATAAAGAGTTTATTATATTTTAAGACTTCTACCAAAAAATTTTGGCAAATAATAAGGTTTACGTGAACTACTAGAAAACACCGTGCGACTGCAAATTTTACACAAAAAAAAAGTTAACATATTTGCGCAAATAGGAGCCAAAAATAGTAAAACTTCGTTTGTTATAGTTTTTATCTCTGACGTCGGGATTTTTTAAGGACTTCGGAATTTTAAATTTATGTTTAATTCAAAAAATGATTTAAAAAATTCGGTGGAATATAGAATAACAATATGTGTGTCAAATAAAAGAGAAAATTGTGTAGAATTAAAACAGATACAATTTGTTGATGCATGAGGACGAATAGGTATTAAAAATGCCCTTTTAAAATGTCATCCTTAAATATCCCTGAAAATTTGGAATATATTTTTTTTTGAAAAAATGTTTTTTTATGAACTAATATATACACATCCTCGTCCTTCTTGCTCTATTAGCTTAATAAAATAAAATTAAATTAATAAAACATATTAGTCCTCGTGAACCAAAAAAAAAATTTTTAATTATACAGAACATCTCTTTCATTTGGTACACATAATGTTATTCTACATTGCACGGAATTTTTCCAGTATTTGTTTAAATTAATTATATCTTTGAAATTTCATAGCCTTTAGAAAAAAATCCTGCGTCAGAGATGGCCTTCGTTTTTGTGAGAAAATTGATAGTATCGTGTGTTTTGAAATTTTTTCTTTTTCTTTTTCACATGGTGAAATACATCCAAAAATCGGGGTTTTTAAAAGCGTTTTAGCTTAAAATGTCTGCATAAACATTTGTAAAAAATGTTATCAATGGAATCAATATAATTAAATTTTTTGAGTTATTTTCATTTCTTAACATTTTTTCGTAATATTCAGCCGGAATTCTTAAAATATTATAATTTTTTCTGATTTCGGTGGAAAACTTAATTTTTTTTTTGGTGATACACCCTAATGTGCAAACTTACAAATTTGCACAAACATACATGTATACATAAGTGCATATGCATGTATCATACATATGTATGTTTATGTGTATGCAGTTAGCTTTTATATAGACGAATCAACTTTTTTAAAGCGTCGTCCAGCGTGTGCGAATATTAATAATGAAAAATTTTGACGCTGCATGTTGAATGAAAGTAGGAGTACACCTTACATATGAGAGTTTTCAAAAATTTACGTATTCTCGCCATTTTTCTAAAAGCATCCAGTTATGTGGAAAGGTCACAAAGTTCGCTGAACTGAGAACTTGGTGCAGCTAAAGACGAATTTTTTACCTAGCACCATTCCACTTATCTCTTAATAAACCAGTGAATCTGGGCTTCGATTATGGAAAAAATTGAGTACCCCCGAGGGTTGAGTTCCGCACCAGGCTAGGTTAGGTTAGGTCGGTGTGAGAAAAACTTGTGCGCCCAAGTAGCAGCTAAGTGTCATTTTGATACCATAAACGTCAAGTAAATATGTAAGTATAAATCAGCGTCGTTGATAAAGTTGTTGTGGAGGCTTATATCAGCGAATACTTGTAACGATGTTAACTCATATGCTCTAAGTATAGTCCCTGCAGTACGGGGGAGTGACTACAGGACTGCTGAATCGGTAGCTACCTGATAAACACCGTCAATTACCGACCGACTACTTGTAGTGTATTTCATCGAATACTTTTACAAGGCAATGTCCTAGGCGGTAGTCACCATCGACTCTCTCTGCACTACCGGGAGTTACTAAAGTAGTCACTTGGGTGATTTATGGGCGCCCTCTGTCGTAGTTTTTCGCTATTCTACTTACGACTGGTTCGACTCTGCACTACCATGTGCACTACCACGGGTTAATAGAGGAGCTACTTACCTTGGAGTCGGTGCAGTAGCGGTTCAAAAGTAGCGATTGACTCCAGCAGTACTGGGGGGGTATTACTGCTGGTCACACTGGTTTACAACAAAAATGTTCCATGGATGCCATTATCCAATTGCTATGTAGAATTTCTCGGTGATTTCGAAAATCGAGTTAATTTTTGTTTCTATGGATACGTTTTCGATTCAGCTTAAAAAAATAGTGGTTCTACTTAATCACGTATATCCTACGAACCAATTGAACAAGCGTAATACGAAATACGGCAAATGAAAGCCAATGAAATTCTCCATAAGCCGTATATAAATCATTTTTCGATAGGCCTGATAGTTTCTGAGAAACGTCCGGTCTGGGATTTCTTATTAAGTTTTGTGTTCTCTTAGGGTTGTACACAAACCTCGTTAGTTTGGATATACGGCAGCCCGCCGCCAGCCGATAACTTTGATCTGATTTCTGAAGGTTGTGGAGAAAGGTTTCACTGTAAAACCCACTCTGGCTAACTAGTCTGCAGCCTTGTTGCCGGAAATGTTGCGATGGGCAGGGACCCAAACCAAATCTAAATCGAGCTGACTACTTGCTGCATTTAAAAGAGTCCTACACTCACTGATCAATTTCGATTTCTAGTAAAAACGCCAGGACCTTAATAGCCGCCTGGCTGAACGCCTCACCATCAACTCCGTGGTTATTTTTCAGTTACAGCCAACTGATAGCATATACGCATGTATGCAATTTTTCAGGCGGTGCTCCAACAGTCGCATTGACCGAGTGAGCAAAGCACTGGGGTACCGTTACAGAGATCCGAGGTTCGAGTCGAGGTAGTTTCATAAAATTTTTATGATAAATATTGAAGTGCATATATAGCGATCTAAAGGGTAGTGTATGATAAAAGAAAACGTGGTCTACCCGGAAAGGACGCGGTAGGAGGCGATCTCCTCCTTTTAGTTCACAGAATTATTCTTAGCAACTACAACGAAAAAGTCCGTGTAAATACGTATCATTTATTTTTTACCATATGGCAAACAAAAAAACAAGTACCCTCATACATATGTATAACAAAATCAATAAAACCAACACTCCCGTTGCGAAACTGGAAAAAAAACCAACCAGTAAGAAATGCCACAAAACAAGCTGTAAGAAAGAAATTCCGTGAAGTTGCTGCTTATTTTTTTCTGCATTCTGTTGCAGCAATTTTTGAGCTTTCAGATTGCCTTCACACTACTATGTGTACCGTTATTTACCACGTTTTTTGTATAACGTTATGCTTGCTAGCTGTTCACTTGTACATCCATTCACTTGTTCGCTTGTTTATTCATTTTCTTTTATGCTGTTATTTCGCAAGTCAATTTCAATTTTGCGCTCTTGCGGTGCTTATTGATTTATTCCTTGTTGTAGTTATTGTTGCTGTCGCGCAAACTATGAAAATATATGTACATAGATGTCGTAGATATGAAGCAGGGACAGCAACAACAGTGGTAACAACAATCAATACAAAGCTGATGGTAAGCCATATATGTATGTACATACTGTCACTGTGGCATCGCTTTATCCTTTCATCATCACTGGCATACACATGCGCATGCCGACATATATATGTACATACAAATGTACACATGTGTATGTATATATTGTAAGTACACGTGCATGAGGAAATCCCTTTTGAAACGCGTTATCTGGAAAGTCCCATTCGCTTTTTGGTGCTCATTTTTCGCCAACTCACCGTAAAAGCGTCTCAACTCGTGCAGCATGACTCGCCTGCAATGACAACAGTGGCTAACGTCAGTCAGTTCATCATTGTCGTCATCATGATTGTAGTGGGGCTCACGCTTTGGCATACATACATACATATGTATTCGTGCACATAATTTCCTTTAAATGCGCTCTCGAAGCTTCGCACTCTTATTTCATTCTTATGTCTCATTCTCATATCTCCTGGGAGTTTTAATGATTTTTGTATGTTTCAGAGCTTGCTATTAAATTCTCTTTTTTCATGCTTATTAACTCTTCACCGGAATTTGAATTCCGCTATTTATCAACATACTTATTTAGTTACTTATGCGCACGCATGGACATAAATATACTTATACATACATACACATACTCCTCGACACTTTTGCGTTTTCTCAGTTTGGCGCTCTATTTTTTAATTTCATTGTACTTTTTTTGCACCTCCTTCCATTCCCTCCGCTTGATTTTTTGATGTTTTGCTAAGAGTCTTCTAAAATACATACATATGCAGATATGGACATACATACA